ACCCAAGATATCCTTAGGTCCGTAGGGTTAACTTATGCACACAGCAAAGGGAACCAACCTAAGGATATACCTTGGGACCTACCCAAGATATCCTTAGGTCCGTAGGGTTACCTTATGCACACAGCAAAGGGAACCAACCTAAGGATATGCCTTGGGGCCTACCTAAGATATCCTTAGGTCCGTAAGGACTTACAGCCGGATCAGGGTTGTGCCTCCATACTCCAGATTCCTATCCATATAAAAATCCAATAGAAATCAGTTTTATCCATAAATCGTAATACCTGGATCGTGATCCAGTAATATGTCATATCCGTGATCATGAAATAAATCGTATATCAAATTTTCACCTGTACACCATAAGTAGTCAAATGATTAACCCAAGGGAGTACCTTGGGCCTGAAAGCCTACCCAAAGATCCCCTTAGATCCGTAAGAAATTTTCAGCTTAATCAGAGCTGTACCTCCAGTCTACCCATATAATATCCCAGTAAAACAGTTCAAGTATAATCAGTGAAACATAAAACCATAATTCATAAACCAGTAGTTTCTGTGATTCCATAAATCAGAAACAATTTATATTTTCAATAAAACCATAATCATAAATCACTTACTATGTTAACATGGTTCATAAACCAGTAAATCAATACTTGTACAAAACTCATTTCAAAACATATAAAACCGTCATGTAATTCATTTGGAACACACTAGAGTATCCACGTATATTTTTCAGAGGCATTTATCGTTATCAATAAGGACAACATGAAACTCGAGCAATTTGATCGGATTCCAGGAACAAGGTTCTATTGAGGAGAATCTATTACTAACTGATCTAGCCAGACATTTAAGGTTGATATTTTAGAATCCCACTATGTTTCTATGTGCATCAAAAAAACGTTCAGGAATCTTTATTCATAATAATTCTAAATTCAGATTTACTGCGAGTGATTCCATTACCCAAACAATCAGGGGTATTCAGGAATATACTTTGAATTCATAGGATTTCAGCCCAATTGAACCAAATGAGGTATTCAGAATCTTTTCCTTCTGCGTTACTTGCGTTTTCAAACATGACCGAAGTGATTTTAGATGAAAATATAGAATCAAAGATTCAAGTCATTTACAATCTATGACTATCGATCTTATTATCAAACAACTCGAGTTACACAACTCCCAAACTGATACATGTCAACAAGTCAATTCATTATCCTTCCAGTGTATCCACTCTTTAATACCATAATACAGATCCATAGATCATCCCCATAATCATCGTTGAATAGATCTTCCAACGGTCTTTATTTCATTTCCATATTTCAACGATATCAGGAAATACGGACGTACTTGATTCATGATTCATAACCCATAAGGATAATTCATCATGTAAGTTAAATAGTGTTTTCAAACTCATCCAATCACCTATTTAATCCTCAGTCATTGAGGTTACTTAGTTCGTTTAGTAAGCAAGTCTATCTCAGTTACTTTAGAGTTTTCCAGAATAATTCAGATGTTTTTGGATTTCAAATACATGTTGTACTTCCTTTCAGTTCAATTTAGTCATATAATAAATTCATTATGGTATTTGTGGTTGATTTGTCGAACAAACGTCCAATTCTTATTATCGAATGCGACCTAGAGTTGAGTTGAGCTGAGTACTTTCAAAATTATCATCGAACCATATTTGAGAAGACGAACACGCATTCAAGTAACATCTATACATTTCAGGTATTGGCATATACACTAGCATTGATTACTCGGCTTAATATGTGATCTATAACTTTTAAGAGCAGTACTGTATCCATGTTTATTTGGATTCCTTAATTAATCCAACACTTCTACTAATTTTAGGTCATAAGGGTATTTTGGTCATTCTGGTGCTCAGTTTCATTCCATTCTTTTCAGAGCTCGAGGATATCCAATCATTTCCGAGCTTGGTAATATTCTTGAATCTTTTTCATTACAGGGGTATTCTGGTTATTTTACAGATCCGGTGTATTTCAATCATTTCCTTCCATTCTGTCTTATTATTTAATTCCAACTTATTATTTATTCCAGACCTTTCAAATAATTCTGACAAAAGAGCACCCTCGATAATTTATTCTTAACTTGGAGATTTTCAGGTCAATTGTCTTCTCAGAAGTTACCAACAGGTTATCAGAAAATTTCTGTACAAAGACATGATCTTAACAATTAAATCCGTAATTCATTGAGTTAAGTACAAATCCTCAAAGTACTTTCTCATTCAGGGTCAACTCAAGTTATTTTTACCTTTCAAGGGCATTTTCGTAATTTCTTAACCAGATGATTTCGGTATTAACTCTTAACGAGCATACTTATTATTTAGAGATCCTATGGTTAGTTGTTTCCTCGAACATTCTCTGATCTTGAAATGATTCCTTAACAGACTTCTAGTATCTTGCATAAACTCTCTTGGGGTTAAAAACCGGTTATCCATAATTTCTAAGTAAAACTAACATTTTTTATGCACATCAATATATTTATCAGATCAATGTCTTTTCAGATTTATTAATCTATTTCCAGAGACAATTCTTGTCATTTTCCAATATAAGGGTAATTTCGTAATTTTACCTAATCGAAATATTCTCATAATTTCCCATCCAAGTACCTTTAACATGTAACATTTGATGATATAAAATATAAGTTACAAATCCAGGCTGATTCCTTATCACTAACCACGTAACTTGTAATTTAATTCTAACAATCCCTCAATTTTTTTTATAAAAGTCATATGAACCATAATCAATTACTAAATTTTTTTTTACCGTATTCGGATCGAGTGTATAAATTAATTAACTACACAAATGAGACCAATATTATTTTATTCATGCATTTACCAATATCAACATGTTCCATAAAGCATAAAGAAGTAGTAAAATATTATCTCGATTTTTGTGCCATATAAATCGACCATAAAAATTTCATTCGAACGCCCTCAATCTTAAAATCAACTTCCAATAATTCCTCAGATACATATTAACAAAAATTACATCAAAACGAGGCTTAATTCTGAAAAATGAATCGAATCATGTGATTAATTAGTGAAAAACAGCTTAACAACTCAATTTCTAGTTTCCAATCTTTTTCTCAAGAACCTGAACCTTCAAATATACAAACTCAAATCCAAAATAATTTCCTTAACCATAAAAATAACTTATTAGAAATTAAATAGTAATTTAATGGCCCAATTGCTAAAACTAAAATCTTATGGACCACTATACTATTTAATTTACTAAAATCAGGGACTAAATCTAATAAATTTGAACTATTTAACTAAACATAAAATTATGTAAACACTTATGAACAAGGTTAAGTTCTCACCAATATCAAAGGACTGAGCTTGTGATTTTTCCCTTATTTTTTAACTAGCTCCCACGTGATTTTGCCTTTGAATCTCCAACAGAACATCTACAAAAATCTTTTTGATCTTTACCTTGAATCCCTTTAAAATCATTTACTTGTTTGTTATGGTCATTCACGTGTTCATCAAGAAATTCATCGAACTCCTTGGCCACTTTCTTGGCTTTAGCATTGAATCCATTGACATGGCTTACCCATGCAAGCCATGGAAGATAATCCCCCACATCCGACATACCCAACAACTCTGTAACTCTCTCAAAATCTTCTTGCTCGTATCTTCACTGTACTTTCTTCCCAAATATATTCTGCAGATAACGTTGTTCATAGTCATTAAAAAGAGCTCGCTTAGATTCACTAGTAAGCCGGAAGAGCTAGACTTTTGAACGTTTTTCACTGCTAGAGCCGTTTCTTCTTCTCTTATAGCCCGATAAGATTAAACCCTTTTGTTACTTAGAAGATTCAGTACATATACACTTCTCATCTGCCTCCAATACTCGCCTTAACGTGCGGACACGACGTCTTTGTAGTCGTAGAGAAGTATCTGAAAGAAGATGCGTTTGGGTCTGTTTACGAATGTGAGATCATGAGTTTTGGTGATCTCACGGGCAGCATCGGCGGAGGACACGACGTGTACGGGGACATTGCCGAAGTGGAGCGACATGAGAGGGCCAAATCGTCGAGCAGATAGATAATCCAAGGATTTTATCAATGCTCCTTTGCAGAGATCACTTAGCCTTGACTTGATGTTGGTCAAGAACATTGTAGCTTCATCGAACGGCTTAGAGGGTTCCTCTTTGCATCTATAAAGAACCTCACAATATGATTCCATGAATTCATCACGTTCTAGATCAGCTTCTATCTCACTGCAGCCGCTTATAGTATGGTTCTCCCAGCCAATTTTTTTCAAGAAGTGAAGCCATGTGAGAAACCAAAGAAGAAGACCCAGCGGAGTTACTTTCTTTTCCAAGAATAGCCGAGAAAGAGAGAGATAGAAAATGTTGGGTGTGGATTGCTTTTGCACTTTGCACAGGTGTTCACACGCTTTGCAACAGTGAACACTCATCATTCATATCTGATATGGTAAAGGATAATAGATATGATCCGACTTTTTTTAAACTAATTTCAGGCTTTGGTCGATACAATCCGAAAGTGAAAGTTGGAAACAATAGATTCCAGAAATGCCAATATCATAATTTAATCCAATCACACCCAATAATTTATCCACTTCTATCTAATTCATTATCCTCCATTTGTTTAATAAAATAATGGTCTAATAAAACAATTATTTTCCAACCAATTTCATATTTAATCTATAAGAAACATAACCCCTAAATTAGAGTGTTACAGTATTAGACGTCTTGAAACTTAAATTAAACGTTGATTTACAATATCTTTTTATTCACGTGGATTGATTATTCTGGATCGAGTCGGATTATACTCCTAAACAGGGAACAAAACTCTCCCACAACTGTTAATTCCTTAAAGAAGCTAAAGTTGTGCACATTTTCCTTCAGAAAACGGAAGAACATATCACTGAAACAATTACATGTTACAATTTCCAAGTACCAGTTCGCTTTGCAGCAGTCAACAAGTGCAACTCATGCAACAAATAAAAGCCACAAGCTTTGGCAAAATGCATTGCCGAACTTCTAAAGTTCCCCTTAACTGTACAACATTGTCAAATCACCTCCAATTAAATCAGTTAGGTTCTCGAATCCGGACCTTTCGCTGCCGCAAGGTCAACCGTCACGATGAACGTCGACCTGCCGGCTTCCCTTAAATACTGGATATCTCCATTCATGAGTTTTACCAAATTTCGGCTGATCAGCAAACTGATACCCTCCTCTGATGCATCTTCATCGCTTCCGAACATTTGGTTCAGCAGCGCTTCAGGTACTCCACTACCTGCGTGCGTTATCCTGAACCAAAATACATACCGAATGCCTTTTACTTTCGGCTTGACTTCATATTCAGGTGAAGTTCATTTGTTCATAATACTAAGGAATATATATACCAGTTCCGTATGCATACTACGGATCGATTAATTCAATTGTTGTGCAGGAACATTATCAGTATGAAACTACGAATGCATGTTAAAGAAAACAAATCAGTACCTGAGCTCTAAATGTGCAAGGTGAACAGATTGTCCTAGTTGATCTTTGGTCAAGTTAGCTACAACAAGAAGCTGGCCTCCTTGTGGTGTAAAATTAACCGATATCAACAAGAAGTCGGCTACGACCTGTTGAAGTCTGACACTATCTCCATATAAGGTCTCGGACATGATGTCTTCCGCCGTATCATTGACTATTCGGATGCGTTTCCCGTCACACTTTACCATCACTTGACAGATGGAAGCCATCAATACCTCATGCAGGGTGAATTCCATCATTTCGAGATCCACGTAACTGTTAAAAAATTAGAGAGAAGAAGTTAACAGGTTCATGTGATCTGTTTAATGCAGAGAACAAAAAGAGAAGTAACGTCATCCTTTTGCAGGGTATGATCATACCCGTCGATGATGGTATGCAGGTCCGAATCGTCGAGTATCTTCCTGAGCTGGTTCTGGCACAGGGTACTAGTCTGCAGAAGGCGTTTTTGTTCCGGTCCCAGCTCCGTGCCCTCCATCATTTTACTAGAAAAAACAATACCAGAGAGGGGATTATGGATCTGCTTTTTCAGATAAGCCAATGTTTTCAATCTCTTCACGGCAGTTTGCTCCGTTAATCGCTGCACATGAAGTGCTTGTTGCAGCTCATGGCTAGCAAGCTGCAAGAAACAAAAGACACCAGTGACAGCACCCTCACTGTCCAATTTCTTATTCACACATAACAAGCATTCCACATGCTTCCCGTTACGAGCAAAGAACCCGAAAGGAACTTTTTCGGACTCATTACCAGTCACAGCATTATTAAGTACAACACCAAGATTGACATAAGATTCATTGTTCTTGAGACAGCAGCACGCGTTGTGTGTCCCGAAAACCTCCCCCAGCAGCATTTTATCTATTACTTGATCTCGGTTCCACCCAGTTAACTTAGTCATTGCTGGATTCCACTCAGAGCACCAGCCAAATTCATCCATACCAAAAATTGGTGGAATCAGTGGATTTGGATTTTGCACAATTGCTTTGTAATCACCTTCGATCCGGGTAAATTTGTCCATGACAATTTTCTGACCAGTTATATCTTGTGCCACAAAACAAACCCCCACAACATTTTCATGGAGATCCCGGTTCGCACAAGCATTGACAACCAAACTAATTGGACCAGCATTGGACTTCAACCCATAAGTTTTGATCTCAAATTGGATGTTTTTTTCTTCCTTGCCTGATAAGGAGTAATTGCCACAAAATTGTTGATGATCTAACAGTGAAATAAATGGTAACAGGAAAGATAAAAGAAAAAAAAGATAGAGAATATTACATACCCTGCAATGCCAAGGACAACATTTTCTTGACTATTTCAACTGATGAATCTTCAAGAAGTGTGAGTAAATGCCTTCCAATTGCCTTATCAACTGAAAGACCAGTCAATTCGGCGATTTTCATATTCCAACCATTAACTAAGCCATCAACATCGACTGCCAAAATTGGCACGGTAGCTGTTTCGATTAAACGAACCATCTCACTTGTCACTGCCTCCAGCTCTTGCATCCCATCTATTTTGAGGTCAGTGAGCTTCGAGTATATGACATTAGTGTTTGTATCCGTCATCTCCACATCTTTGAACGCGTTCCGTAGAATAAGCTGCAAAGAATGGATTGCATCCATTTCATAGTCCTTCCATGGCAAACTCCTAGTCTTGACAACTTCAAGGAAAGCCTTGAACGATGACCTTGGGTGCATCTTCCTGTCATCATCTTTCTCACCAAGTTCATGCTTTGCACCACCCCATCTAATTTCAGCAGCAGTATGAGACCGGAACCAGAAAAGCATGTCCTTTGTGGTTATCCTCACCGCTGCCATCCCACAAACTACATCGCCAAGTCTCAAAGCCCCCGGGAACCCAGCATCATTCAAGCTATCGGTACTCAGACCCGTGGAATCCATATGATACTCGGAAAGCCACGATGCTATCTCATACAGTTGGGAATCGCTTGGAGCTAATCCTAGTTTCCATACCTTGTCCTTGTATAATAAGGCAGCCCCATCACATTTCACCAAATCCATTATATTTGGACTCTGTGATACGATACCCACGGGTGCATCACGCATTAGCATATCACACAAAAGGGTCTGCGTACGAAGGATATTCTTCTCCATCATTTGACTTTCCAACTCTAACTCCTTATTGACATGGATGCCAAATACTTGAGCAAGAAACTCACAGGCATACCTGAGAGGGAATGGAACAAACCTAGGAGTAGTGTTATGGCATACTACCAAACCCCACAATCTTTTTCGCTTTTGTTGTGAGGAATCAGTGTTATCACCCTCTTCATCTCCATCATTGGTGATGACAGCCATAACCAGAGAAGCAATGGAATTCATGTTCTCCATGTACTGTAAATGGCAGCTGTGAGGAGCCCTCAGGGTTGAACCACAAAACGTTAGGTCAAAAGGAAGCTCATCATCTTGATATACTTTTACATGTTTCGCTCGACAATCGACAATCATACGAACTTTATTCTTCATAAACAAAAATCTAGCAGCCTGAGGGATGTCAGTGGCTGGATAATGCAAACCTAAATATGGCTCTAGGCCAGGCTTTGTTATCTCAGAAACTACTTCCCCATGGTCATCATCATGGAATTTATAGGCCATCACCCTGTCATAACCAGTGAGCTCGAAAACCTCCTGCACCATCGTATCGCAGAGCCTCTCCATGCTCCCACTATGAAGAGACTGCAAGCGAGTAATTGCCTTTGCTGCTAGCTTGTACGACTGCAAGGCTCCCGCTGCAGTCATGGGGACTTCATAGGGCTTCACAGGTTCAAAATCAATGATTAAGCTCCCTGTTACCCTATGGACTATTGCATAAAAGGGCTTCCCGGAAGTCTTGCAATGGACCAAGATCGGATTCAAAAGAGAAACCTCCCCAATTCCTAGGGCCTTCAGCAATGCAGAGGAACTTGGAGCAGTAAAAATAGTTTTTATGTCAGTTCCAATGCCGAGAACCGGGTAGTCCCCAACACTCGGGACTGCATGACTAACCATGGTCAACATTTCAGGGGCATTCTCACTATATGCTATGACCTTGTAAGTTTTCTCATCTAAGGCTAGCAAGCACCCAAAGGGTTGGATAAACTTGCCTTTCTGTATATTATGGAGATATGCTGTGGTAACCTTGTCTGACCTTGGTTGCCGGTCTCCACTTACACGCACTGAACTCGAATAGTCGAAGGAGCTACTGGACTCCTCAAATTCTGCATGGAGTTTTGCATCTACAGTGGTTTGAGCGATAACTCGAGCATTGTGCCTTGATCTCCCAGAGTTGTTAGATGAGTGGCTTTGCCTCGACAAAGACATTTTCTCCTGATACTCGTTATAAAGCAGAGAAAGGACATCTCTATGAATAACAACTACGAGAAAAGAAATCTATACTATGGAAGCAAAAAACAAGTATCGACATGGTTTGCAAACAATTTGAGATAAGAAAACTTACACTCTATTTAGTTGATGTTTTTGCTAGTTTCCCTTCACTATCTATTAAGCAAACAATTTGAGATAAGAAAACTTACACTCTATTTAGTTGATGTTTTTGCTAGTTTCCCTTCACTATCTATTAATTTTTAGTTTCTGTATTTGCTGTCTATTCATTTTTCAGATTCTTTCAAAAGGGTCAAGAAAGCGGACAGGGATGGACCGAGGGTGGCTGGGGTTGTCGTCCATAAAAATTTCTAATTATCATATATTTTAGATTTTTTCTTTATATTTCTATTGATAATTTGTTTTCGCCCTCCTAAAATTTTATAAGTTCATCCCTCCTACAATTTTAAAAGTTCACCCTCTAACATAAAATCCTGCATACGTCCCACAAGCTGAGACCATAAAGGTTGAGAATGTTGAAATCTAAACCTGTAAACAACCCAGATTTTCCTATAGCATTAGAGAAAGAAATTCGGGGAACAATGATTTCTTTTTTCCATTCTTTGAGAAAAAGGTAGGATATGATTAAATTTAGAGAGTCAATGAAGGATTTTGGTTTCTAGACATAAAAATCATGTCCTTTCCATCAATAACTACAGCTTTATGAAGAGACCAAATTACTCAAAGTTCCAGACTTTCAGTTTCTATGATCCATAGTTCAAAATTCAATAACTCATCAGACATGGTAAAGAAATGGTAAAGAGAACAAACTAGCCATTGTAAAACAATCATCCCATCTGAATTTTAAATTGTGGTCAGTTATCAAATTAATGGTGAAGGTATAGACCGAAACTGTTATTTTACAATCATAATATTCGTAATGACAGCAATAATACCGATGCAACCAAAAATACGATGGTAACTATAATTTAAATCTCTTATCCCAATAGCTATTAAGCTTGAAAGCTGAAAAAGTAGCACTTCAATTTAGCTAAAATAACTAACCTTTTGGTCGATAAACAGCAGAGGAAATGCAAAGGGCAGCTGTTATCTGTGACTGTGACGATGAGTTGAAGAACCAGTTCGAAGAAGAAGTTGGAAATAAGAATCCCAAACTCGTGCAGCAAACCCAGAATCCATCACCAATCGAAATATAAGAACAAAACCCCAAAAAAAGAATAATAAAAAAACTCGACAACCGCCTTGAAAGACTAGCAGCACTTTACCATCACCAGCTAGCAGGGACCACCATGATAACATAAAATAATGCTATAATAAAGTATTCCCCATGGTCGCATTGCAAGATTTCGGTTTTATAATAATAAAAAAAGAAGAATGGGTTTCCCAATCAAGGATAACAGTGGCAGTTAAGTTATGATTGGCTTTCTATATCTGTTTATTTATTGAAGTATTGTCCTGGGCACAAGCTTCTGTCTTCTTATTCAATAAAAAGAGATTTACTTTCCGATTAAAAACAAAAACTTTATATTAAACTAAGTTTGATAATGTCAATCAAGATCAATCTCCATTCATTTTTATTTGCATCTGATGAAAATAAGAACAAAAAACAAGGGTTAGTGGTCACATGGGAATAGAAAGATTTCGGGGGCATACCAGATTCCAATGAAGAGATAGGAATTGTTGGGTGGGTCCATCATCAATGGGTAGTTCCCACTTTTCTCCTAACCCTATCCCTTTATCCGTTCTCCAACGTGGAAGATGGACGATACTCTTTGCGGTTGTCATCTTCAACGCCATCATTTATGTCGGCTCCATTCCCTTTCCTTTTAACGAAGAAAGCTCCATGGCATTGATTCCAATCTCACCATAAGCCCATATTCAAAATTTGGATAAAGTACATAAATGGTCCCCGGATATAATATTTTGCTTTATTAAATCCCTTAACTATTAAAAGCTATAAAATAGTTATTTGACTATTAATTATGTTCTAAACTCATCTTTTTCTATTAAAAAAATTAGCGATTGTTTAAGCTAGACGTTAACATGATGTCTGGGATATGATGTTGTTTGAAATTGAGATTAAATTTTATCATATCACAGTCAACAGGTTAACGTTCAACTCAAAATATCATCCATTTTTTAACAGAAAAGGGTGAGTTTGGAACATAATGAATAGTTAGCTTACCATTTTGTAATTTAATAGACGCGAGACTCAACAAAGTAACATTCTATGGTCGGAGGATAATTTTGTAACTTTTAATAGTCGAGAGACTTAAAAAAATAATACCCTATAATCGGGGACCATTTGTATACTTTACCCTTAAATTTTGGGTACTATTTTATGTTGAAATATATTTTGATATAACAATTTATGGCAAAATGTTTTTGGACTTAAATTGAATTTATTCAAAGTTCTCAAAGTTTTTAAAAATAATTCGAAGTCCTTAAAAGTAGATTTGAGCACAAAATGATTTTTTGGACAAGAAATATCGATATTGTTCATATGGTATCGATATCAAATGTAAGAGAAGTATCGATACTCACTGGGTAGTATCGATACTACCAGCATTGCTCAAATTTCAGAATGTAAAAATGGTACCGATATTATTTTATATAGTAGTATCGATATCATAGACATAGTATTGATACCATCAGGCCCAACAACTAGTTTTTCATAGCCGAAAGCTAAAGCAATGACTCGATTCTAAGTCGTGAGAATCGAAAAGCACATCATACCCTCAAGGGTTACGTTTTCAATTTTTCAGAAATCAAGGATCGGAAATCGACCATCCTTTTACAATTAAAGTAATTTCATTTCAAAAAGTGCATGTTGAAATTGAATTTCAGTTTCGATTAATAGTTGGGAGGAAGGATCGGCCTATGGCACATTCGACTTCCTATGAACACACTTAGCAGCGGTCTGCTAAGGGAAACTGAAATCGGATTAGATTCTCAATTGACACGATAGAATCCGAGTTGGATTTTTCAGAACTTAAAAACATTGAATTAGAAAGCGATTGTTGCAATTAATTCAAAAAAGAGTTGAGATCTAAAAAATTGATTTTAGATTATCGGTTCATTTGAGATAAGAACAAGTTATAGAGGTTGGACCCTATAGACTGTAACCGGCGTGAGCCCGAAGGTAAAATCCTATTCAATGATCGATTTGAATAGAGGCATAAGCTTTAACCCAAGGCTTATTTAATCATATTGAATCTCCGTCTTTAATTTCATTTTTACTTTCTTTTATTTATTTAATTGTTTTCATCTTTAAACACTTCAATTTCTCATCAAACCCCCTTTTATTGTCCTTTATATCACGCCTAAATCGGAATCAAGAGCGAGAAATTCATCAGTCTCCTAATCCCTGTGGATCGATCCTTACTCTCCCTATACTATTCTTTATTTAATTTTATTTTGAGATTACGGCTATTTTTATTTTGATATTAGAACCAAGGTGCGCCAATTGACAAAGTAGCCAACAACATACATGAATGAAATGCCCCAATAGGCCGTCAACTGCAAAACAGGTAGTGTAAGCACCTTGAGCCAATAAGTCCATCATCCACATCGTGTTAGTGCACTCTTAACCCCGTCAGATTCGGATTTACACCAATTTAAACCCCAGTACCTATGTGTAAGACAGTCTTACTTTGCACTCATGTATATAAGCACCTCTCATACCTATCTAACCAATATGGAATACAAGCTTTTTATTTTTCTCAGCATAACTTACAAATAACTTATTTTGAACATTGATCTCCCATTCATTAATTAATTATTATTTTATTGAATTGCTCAAATGTGTAATTATAAATTATGTACGTAGTTATGTATGTTATATGTAAACATGTGTAAAAAAATACAGATGTTTGCATTTATTCTTTATTTGTTGTTATCGTAATCGTAATATGAATATGTATAATTTACCAATGTATATTGAAATGACATTCATCATGTATGTTGTATTGCAATTACCAAATAATATAAGTTGATGTATTCTTATCGGATGGTAAATTCTAATGACCGAATAATAGGTTGGTGCATCCTTATCGAAAGGTAAAGTCCAATAATTAAATTACATGCGGGTGCATCCTTGTGGGATGATAGTGTCTAATGATCGAGTAATCATATGGAGATGTAAACGAGACAATTTATTGGATTGCATGCATGTTATATTTGATATATGAATGTGTCATGTACAGTGAATAGTGTATAATATGTTGTTTGACTTGTACTTGGAGGATTCATTGAGGTCTATAGCTCACCCTGTTAGTCTTTTTTTTTTCTAGATTTTCTTGTTCGATAAGATTATTTTGGTATTTAGAGGATCGACTAACGACATTTTTCAATCGACACAATATAATTATTACCAAATTTTCATTATATTTTAAATTTTTTTTATCGGATTATGATATATTTTGTATTTAAAGTCTTGAGATATTATTTTAGAACTTTTACTATAATTTTAGCATGCATTACTTTATAAATTATGGAGTTTTACTATTATTTATTCATGATTTTATTAGCTGTTGTTTATATATTTTACCATCTACTTCAATAACTATTGATATTTCTTGAAAGGATTATGTTTTATGGATTCTTATCAGTGTGATCTCCAAAATTTAGGCGTAATGTCTAAGTCGGGTCTAGGAGATTATTATATATTCATATAAAATATTAAATATTAAATATGACATTAATCCTATTAATACTTTGTGTTATATAGATTTAGATATATTTATAATTTATATCTTGGTTAAATTCGTATTATTTTTTATGCTATATTATATTTAAATTATTATTTTAAAATTGTCTAATAATTCATCTAGAAACATTTCAATTGAGTTCAATTCGATTATTTGATTTATGTTTGGATTCTAGCCTTGTCATGTCCCACTCCCGTCATGACCTATTAATACCAATGGTATGTACAAACGCAGGGTGACAAGCGATAAAACAAAGGAGTGGCTCCCATTTATAGGATAACACCACAAAATAACAAAAAAAAAAAGGATAACACTTTCGTCCCCTTAATTTTTTAAGTTCGTCTCTTAAAATAAAATATTATGTCCGTTCTTCCCTCGCTCGTGGTTACCTTCCCTGTAAGCATGCGTGAAGGGCGAGCCACAAGAAACCATCGACTGCAGAAAAGGTAGAGTAGAAGTGGTACAAGAACTATGACCCGAGCATGGTCCACTTGCTGATATCCTTAGCGATTGGTGTAAATTGAATGTTTAAACTTCATATATACGACTCATTAAAATCTGCTAAACAAAATCTCCCATGTGGTACGATGCAGCAGTTCAATGTTTTAGCCTGATGTCAAAACGGCATTGTCATTTACTAACCTGAACAACAGCACCGCAATCTATGTTTACGGTTTTCTATCAATGTTTTCACGATTAAATTGAACTTGTATAGTATGAAAAACCATTAAGGCGTCCAATTTGCTGGAACACCCGGAGTCCTACTCTCAACAATTTGACAGATATTATTTTAATTACAATATTATGTTGAAAAAATAGTCGATGTATGTATGGAAATTATTTTAATTTTTATAACTGGAACGAGCTTGAAAACCAGTTTCCAAAATCTTCACAATCTGGTCCATTGTTGGCCGAATGTCTTATATAGAATGACAGCAAAGAACAGCAACTAAAACATATTGCTCCATCACTTCCGGTGATCCTATCTCCGGCATGTCTTGCTCGACGACGTCTAATGCCCTCCCTTGTTCCACAAGCTCGGTTAATTTGCCGTACAAGGCATATTCCGGAGCAACATAGCCTAGAGTTCCTGCTACCGTCGTGCTTAAATGCGTCGTTCCCTCGGACTTGATCTTTGCCAAGCCGAAATCCGTGACTTTCGGCTCGAATGTCTCATCCAGAAGTATATTACTAGCTTTGATATCTCTGAGAATGATGGCAAGGTGAACCCCATGGTGCCAATAAGCTAAGACTCTAGCTGTACCGAGGGCAATCTTCAGACGAATAGGCCAGCTAAGTTTCTTCTTCCCCAATCCGAAAAATGGTCGTAGAGGCTTCCGTTACACAACAAATCGCAAACGATGAGCCTTTGATGCCCTTCCAGTGGCACCGTTGCAGTGCAGAAGCCTCTCAATCCAACAAGATTGACATGTCTTACACTTGCAATGACTTCTACTTCATGTACAAAGTTTGCATCTCCGACGACCAACAATTCTTCAACCTTTTAATCGAAACTTCGGATCCGTCCGGTTGTATCCCTCTGTAAACATTCCCATATCTTCCCATTCCAATAATGTTCTCTCTGGAGAAATTCTTTGTAGCATTCTTTATCTCCTTAATTTTGAACTTTTTAAGACTTGTACTTCTACTACACAGTCCGAATCCGAAAACCAAACTAGTCTCATCTGTATCCGAATCATTCTTCGCTTCTACATTTTTTCGACATCTTCTCATCATAAGGAGCAGAACAGCAGAAAAAGCCCCAAGTACACCAACGACAGAACCAGCCGTCACCCCTGGAATTTCACTTCGGTAGTGACCACGGCTTGGCCTCGATCTCTCTTGTTTAGATGCTATGGAAAACAAACACTGAGCGGTTGCTCTATCAGTAGGACCAAAATGGTTAACAAATGCAGCCGTATACATATTAGGGTACCCCGAACAAGACGAGATATTCCGTACAGCATCGTCATTGATGCCTTCGAGGAAAACTTCCCCAACTATGAGCAACTTTCTAGTACACGATCCACATGTAAAACTATCATCCAGAGACTGAGTACAGTAATATCTCAATTGGTACAATATTGCACTAGGAATTACGCTCTCAAACTGTGCTCTAGATGTTACATTCATGCAGGTTTCGGAAATCCATTCCGCCTTATATCCGCAAGAAGTTTCGATATCGAAATCGGTTACAAACTCACCTAAAAGAACCCGGTAGGACTCCCGGCACGCCTCGGAAGTGTTGGGAGGGGGAACGAAGTACTCACTCGTCTGGAGATACTCGGACCGGACCAAATCGATCCCTTCCATGATGTTTCAACACTGTGTGGAACATGCAGGGTCTCTATTAACAAATTTCTTGAGGATGTCAAAGTTGAGTGGACAGGAGGCATTCACCAGGGGTTCATTTGAGAGCTTTAGGCAATATGAAGGTGACATATTGATCTCAAAAGAGGTTAAGATTGATACTAATGCAAACAAAGTGAACTGAGACGAGGACATTGAAGAGAAATGGAAGGAGATTTCATTCTTTTCACTTGAATTGATCAGAACAATAACTTCATCATCAAGCTTTTATTGGATACTTTGGCCGGTTTTGGCTGCTTGTAAAGGGCGGCAATGGAGAACTTGGAATCAGTCTAACTGTGCATGTGAGTTTTAGGTAGAGGTTGAAATAAAGAAATCCCAACAATTTGACAAAATATAGCTTAAAGGTAACTTTTGGCCTCATCTTAAACCAAGGTTAAATATCCCGACGTTTGTATAATATTCGTTCATTAAGTTATATAGACGAGTACTAACAAAATTTTTGTGTTCATTTAATAAATGAACAAGCACGCACAGAGGTATGTTCGATTCGTTTATATTCATGAACATACTTATTTATTGACTCGTTTATAAGTTCATATATTGACTCGTTTATTAGCTCATTTATTCGGTTCTCCTTTTTCTTTTACTTTTTTACATTTTAATATTGGTGATAGTAAGGGTTACATTGAACATAAGGTGAAGTTTGGAGTTCAAACTATGAAATCCACTAAGGAACTTAAAGGCTAGTTGTGTAATTTCATCATTTTTTTTTTACAAACATTAAATGAAAGGTAAACGAAGGTGTTTTCAAACGCTAAGCAAACGAACATGTTCGCAAACACTGAACGTACAAATATGAACATTTTCAAAAATAAACAAATAAATATGAATACAAATATAATTTTATTTGTTCAAACTCGATTCATTCACACTCCTACTCATACCCATATTATTTGATCAACAAAAAATTGTATTCTCATAGGATATAATGGACAAGTATCTCTTTTTTTAATTAAAAAAATAAGTACTTGGAAAATATACAGTTAAAGTATTTATATTTGGCCAGTTGATCATTTCTCACGGTGTATGTTTTGACTTGGGGGAACTTGTAAATTGTAATATTATGTTGACAGAAAGGCCAATGGTTTGCTCAAAGGAAGTGGAAAATAAGGAAGAAAGACAAGATGACAAGGCAGAAAACATCAAAAATCAAACATGCAAGACATGGAACTTGTCTTGATGTATAAAATGTTGTTAAAGTCAATATGATTTCTTGTAAAAGACCAGGTCAAATATGTTGTCTTTATTAAGACGATCAGTAAGAACTTTGTCATATATGAAAAGAACTAATTTCTGTGATGGAAAAGAAATGGTCTCGGGATCACATTATTAGGTCTTCCCTTCCATTTTTGTTTCCTTCTCCAACTAAACCAGACCACCATGACTGTCATCATCAAGCCAAGAACAGCGCCTATCGGATCGAGTCGCGCAAAGAATAGCTTTCTTTGCAGTGCCTGAATCAGTCAACTTCAAGACAATTCAAGATGAGAACAACCCAGATTTTGTGGTTGAAGTGGTGACCCTTTTCTTTGAAGATTCTGAAAAGCTTCTCGATGGACTGACAAATTCTCTGTGAGGGTTTTGCTTTACAATTTTCATGTATTTTCTCAATTTCTTACTGTGGTTTCATTGTTTCTTTCTGATCTTCATGTATAGAGAGCAGCCAATCGTCGATTTCGAAAGTGTTGATGCTCATGTTCACCAGTTCAAAGGTAGTAGCTCCAGGTAATTTTTTCTCTCTCAATCTTTTAACTTCAGTTACTAATTTTAGCTTCAGATGAGATCATTATATTGTTTGGTAAACAACTTTTACAATGGTTAAAGCCAAATTTGTACCAACCTATGGTTAAAAAAAACTACATTCTGTAGTCATCAATTTTCACCTATTGTAAGATAGGGGTTCCACCACATGGAAGAAGCTTATGAATTACATCAATTTTACATGCAATTTTTTCTTCACGTGTACTTTCATGGTAAAATGTTCTCAAATTGACAGCATTGGTGCTAAGAGAGTTCAGAAAGCCTGCATTGCGTTCCGCCACTACTGTGAGGAGCAGAATGTCGAAGGGTGAGTTTATTGTATGCCTTAGATTATTACATTTCATTGAAAAGTTTCGAGTTTTGATGGTCTTATGTAGGTGTATTAAATGTCTGCAACAACTGAGGCATGAGTATTCTCTTGAGAAAACCAAGCTTGAATATATGTTCCAGGTAATTTTCTTTCTATCCAAACGTGTTTTAATCCTTTGTTAACTCCATGGATTGATTTCCCATTTTATTTTCTGCAGCTTGAACGACAGATCTTGTCTGCTGCAGGTTCGATTCCTATGTAATAGTCGTCTTCGAAGAGACATATAAATCTGCAGAGAAAGAACATGGGACCAAATATGATATTTTGGCGTTGTAGAAAATTTTATTTTCTTTATCTTTGTTGTTTTTCGATTATTGCAGTTTTAGTAGGGTACATACCCTATTGAAGGGCTCTATCTATTTTCGAACTTAAGCTTGTATCATATCTCCAGTGTATGAACAATGACAAAGAATGTGAATAAAAGCCTTCCATCTGTTTCCTCCAAAGTGCTTTTTCTGGTTTTAATTTTTTGATTTCATGATCAAAACAATTATGTATCTGTTTAAGAACAACATACGAACGAATGAAACGAAGATCGAGTTTTGAGACCTTAAATTCTATTACATCAAAGATGTTAGCATTGCAGAGGCTTTAATAGGGATCTGAAAAGGGTGACATCAAACTAGTTTGCAATCATTTTCCATTAAAAATGAGCAACATTTACAGCAAATCTGGACTTCTTTTGTTTCATTTCGGCATGTCTCCGAAGCCAAAAATTAATGTCTAAGTAACCTCTTTCATGTTTGTACTAATCCAACGGTAACCATTAAAGTTTAATCCTCTCTAACAAGGGTTCATACATGTCTAGGATCATTTTAGCAAAACATGAAGTGAAATTTTGCAGTATGTGGAGTTAAATTTTATGAACTTTCATCAATATAACCTTCACTTCAGACAAAGAAGAAAAATAATGAAAATTTCCCCAGCAGTTTGCTAATTATTAATTATCAAAATCAATTTGATTAGTCCCCCCTACAACTGAAGAGCACAGATTCCTCATGAGTTTGTTGAAACAACTATTCTTATCAACAAATACCTGCTAAACTGTTCCTTTTTTACACCAACTCTGAAAAATGTCAGAAAAAATGATAATATTGTATGTATGTATGTGGATGGAGATCTTCAAAGGAAAGAAACAAATGCATTGGCCAAATAAACATTATCACCGACCATTCAGTGTTGCATACAGTATATATGATTATAAATTAGTGGTTACTGTTGCATTTTAGCCATTGAAAATGGAGTGGAAACCCCACTTTGTTGGGGTGATTTCTATCAAAAAAGTCCAAAAATGTGTTTATAATCACCCTTCGGTACTCATCTCTCCATCACATTCATTGAACATAATTATTTTATCAGGTCAAACTGTTCTTTTTCACATGAGTGGAATGCCCCCCCCCCCACACACTTTGATTAGTTTGCTGGTAATCTTGCAAGTAAAGCCAAAATACATGCTGTAATGACAGAATATCAAATGGTTTTCTTTTCATCTTTTCATAGTATTTTATAGGAATCGGCACCCAACCGAGTCACCGACCATGTTCTGCAATGTTTTTCGTGGTTGATTCAGATTTACAGGTAGAAATTCGGTTGCCGGAATGATACCTGCGTTGTAGACGAGTTCAAATAAGAAAACCATGTATCGGTACGAGCATGCTCAAATTTTAACTAATAGAAAGGACAGAGGGATCCAAAGGAAGGGCTTAGGCATGCATTGTTCATGCATTTCCTTGGTGTAATAGTTGTAAGATATTCAACCACTCGGAAATTGAAACATGAAAGGCATGATTCATTACATTTATGTTGAAGAACCGGGGAGCATGATTCGATACTCGTGTAAATCACGACGTGAAAGCATGATGTTATGTGCGTAGAGCTGAAATGTGGACCAACAGACAGGCCTGATAATATTAGATATATACTGATGCAAAGATACCGTAACTGTGTCTTCTATGAGGTATTCTGTATTTCATTTGTTGCTAAGCTCATGGACACAAAGTAGAATCTGCTTCAAAAAGATGTCAAAACTGTTCAAAATATGGCTGAATTATAATAAACTTTTACAACTTCTGATTATGACCGATGTTCGTACTTCCGGGTCGTGAAGTCCACAGTCTTTCCTGCTCATGAAAGCTTCCCGGAACAGCAGACTGTCTGTGATCACCTAAGACCCTAGTGAAATGGTCATAATATGCCTCCGGATTAACGTTTTCCAAAACATTCACTTGTTTCCCTTGTTCTTCATCAATCGTTATCTATCCTATCGCTTTAATGGAGACCTTAAGAGATTTGGACATAAATGTCTGGTTCAGATGTGAATTTCCATCCAAGATTACTGCACCAAGGATCTCTCCCAAAAATAGATCCAGCAAAGAGAAAAAGTTGTTTCAATCTAATTTAAGTTCTTTTTCATCCATAAGTTGCATTGAAAAGTATTCGAGAATATATCATACCTGAAACTTGTAAAACTTCACAGATCAAAGAATCACATTTAAAGAAAGGAACTAAAACATATGCTTGAAGGTTTCTGAAATTACCATGTGATGATATCTATAATGCTCTTGTTGTAATTGCCAAAGTCTCAAACGTCGGGCAAACACAAGTTCAGGAGTCTTAGTTGTGGCATTCATTCTGATAAGACTCGTGTCTAAAAAACTAACTCTTCTTTGCATCTGAAGTGGAACAAGTGTGATGTTCACAGATTAAGTGAAAACTTCCTTTGCAGCTAAAGGATCGAGGAACATGTTAAATTCCGTGTATTCATTCGAGGGAACCGTGAAAACATTTCCTTTACTATTGTCATTGGCATTGCCTATGTGTCCTCCAACAATGTATACTCCCAGCGTCAGAAATTTTATATATATATATATATATGATCAACTCCATCATTGGGAGACTGAAATCTCTGTTATCTATATAATTTACCTGAATCGCTGAGCTTGCATTCTCTGATAGAATGACCTGTGCTAAATTAGTCAAAGGTCCATTAGTCAATACAGTGATCTTTGTTCCTAGATCCAATGAGTCCACTATATACTTCCAAACATTACATGCTGACGGTTTCCTGAGTTCGGGATTATCGGTATCTCTAGGAGCTCCAAACTTGACAGAGTTTTCTGCTGTGTATCTGAAAAGTCATTACAAGGCCAGTAGGCCACATATTTTTAACTTGATTTTGCTCGTGCATGTTCTGCATCATTTTCGAGTTGTTATCATAGCATTATTTAGAATTTTACCTTCTTGGACTTCAAGGTAAATCGCGAGCAAGTCCATTTAGTGTGTCGGAGTCCAAGTAACCACCACTATCATGAGGGATAGCTTTGGAATACTTGCAGTCTCCGATCGCAGTGAAAGATGGATTGGCTAGCCCAACAGCAAATGCTTCACCAAGACCAACCGGAATGTCATCGCGGCCCATCATATGTAGTATATCATATACGACATCAATCGCTGCAGGAGTCGGCCAGCCTGTTGAGCTGATCAATATTCCCTAGTTGAACATAGAAATATCAATCATCAGGAACTTCTGTAAAGCCTGAACATTAGTAATGCTTAAACATAATCTACAGAACATTGTCATATTTGTTCAATTTAAAGTTCCAGATGCTTAACTCATGAGATCTGCAGTCTACATTGAGGTTAGACCTAGCAAATCCAATCCGACATAAACTACCTTGAGGTCGATTAATTTCACAGGTAACTTGAGGAGATATAAAAGAGCTAGAAAGTCCCCGGCACTCATATCCATCTCGAAAACAGTCGGTTTTCCCCTCGTTCTCTTTCCAAAATCTGGTTTATAAAGAACCTCCTTGTGGAAAGGGTATCAGCTTCTGATATCAAACCTTCCAGTTCTCTCAGGGCTATTTATAACCTACAATTCAGTTCCAAAAATTGACTACATTAGTTGTATTACTAGCACCTTTAAGCATTTTCGGGTTACGTGTATGTGAATTAATCAAATTAAACAACAGAACAATGGCGTTATTGATAAAATATGTATAGGAGCTTACATGCAGAAAATTTCTGTAAAATTGTTTCCCAAGTGAGCTTCCCTTATCATAATTTTCTTTAGCTTTCACTGCAACAAGAACACGCACGGCATCCTCTCCGGTATCTTCTTTCGTGTAACTGTCCTGTTAGCATTGTATAATTCTGTAAGATGATGAATCCCATAGTTGAAAGAAGCTGTTTTTTGTAAACGATATACGTCGAATTTCTTAACGAGGTGAGAACCGATACATGAAAACTTACATGTATAATCAGCTAGAGCATGTACTGTTGACGCCAGACAGAATAGTGATTATCCTGTAGGCTAGCTCCGACAGACGATTCACAAGAGAAAATTCGCCCAAAAACCAGAGAAAAAAAAAGTCTCTAGGGTTTAATAAAATATTATAAAATCAAAAACCATCCAAAAAGCAGTCCACAAGCCGGACTGTTATAGCAAAAAAATCGTCTTTATTCGAATTTTGCCAAAAATAGCAAAATCCCGAAAATCACTCTAAATTGAAATTCGAAATAAAATAAGCAATCTCCCAAAAATCCGGCCTAAATCGGATTTAAATTGACTTCCTAATTAACAATCAAAATATTACCATAAATAGTAAAAAATAACTAAATCTAGTGATTCAGAGGGGAAAACGGCAGAATTTGAGGTTGAAAAAAAGGCCACATGGAGCATAGCTCATGTGGAGAGCGTGCGCGTCGAAAAGAGCTTTCCGGATTGGGGTCTTATGCGCGATTCTGACACCTGTAGCCAAAGTTATGGCCAAAAGACTGAAACTACTCAAAACGACCCCAATGAGGAACATGTCACAATCAATTCCCCCTTGCGCTGATCTGCCAACTCATGGTATCTCAGCGCCATCAACGTGCAATCTGACAGCTCAGCATCATCTGTCTCGGATCCCCCTGCATCAGTCAACCCCGGTTGGAAAGAACTCGTCCTCGAGTTCAGAGTAGTGTCATCAGGATCCACAAAACAATGACTCAGGTGCTTCACATTAAAGACATCAGAAGTCTCAGTGACTGGGAATCGCAACTTGTAAGCATTATCATTGATCTTCTGCACGACCTCACAAGGTCCAATCTTCCCGCCTTTGCGCTGATCTGCCAACTCATGGTATCTCAGCGCCATCAACGTGCAATCTGACAGCTCAGCATCATCTGTCTCGGATCCCCCTGCATCAGTCACCCCGGGTTGGAAAGAACTCGTCCTCGAGTTCAGAGTAGTGTCATCAGGATCCACAAAACAATGACTCAGGTGCTTCACATTAAAGACATCAGAAGTCTTCAAGTGACTGGGAAGTCGCAACTTGTAAGCAT